AACGGCCGCAGAAACTGTGGAAGAACTACCTAGAGCACAGAAGCCCTGGTTTGCAACAACAATGCCTACTCAGACAATGAATCCTACTGAAAGGGGGTTAGCCGAGGTAAACGATGCTTCGCGGACACTCCGAGAGGCGAGAGAAACTCTGCGCCTGTTTGATCTGCTTCAACAGAATTCGAAATCGTCTTCTTCTGTTGAGATTGATGCAACACAGATGTGGGAGTTTCAGGTAAGTTATGCATACGTTTGGCTAGTTAACCTAGGAAGGAGATGCCAGCGCCTTAATTGCTCTGGGCGCATCGATGCAAATTTTGGTTGGTGGAAGAGAAGACAGGCTAACATAATTGTTGATTTCTCCACCCAGGTCGTTGCTGAGCGTCTGAAGGTCCTACAGGAGAAAGTTCACGCGCTTATTAATGCAGTAGTGGATGGAATTTCGACCGACATCACTGAAGACGATGAGATAGCTCTGGCTTATTTTACGAGCCTGAACGATGAGCTTCTGCGTTGTGTCGAAATATGCCGGCAGACGGCACGGAAATATGAGGTTAGTATCCTCACTTAACTGCATATTTTTAGAATACCAGTTCGCAGTGGTTAATAATCAATACTAAATTTAAGATCTACTTAGTCGATAAGTAAATAAATCCATGAATGCGTTAACCTCCCTTTAAAAACAAGGCATAAATCGTGCTCAAAAAGGCCCTATTGCAAATTAACACCGTCACTGATGAGAACCAAAAAGATGCAAAACGGTTCACCTAATTCACAGCGCATGCTTTTAACCACCCGCACTGTTTGGAGGGTTGCTGCGCGTAGAAAACTAGCTGAGATCTACGGAAACAATTATAGTTGGTGGTTATTTGTATTAAACCCAGTGGGGTTAAAAAACCTATCGATACCATCTATGTGTCGTTCTGTGAGAGTTTTTGAAATATGCATCCCCCTGCGACAGAAAGGCCCCTGTTCATCCAACTGCAGGATTTATGGGTGGCTATTCCTTGAAAGCAGTCAAATAACGCTTTGGAACCTCTCCTCAAACGCAGTGTAGTTCCTTGTGAATGGGGAAGTCTTCAAAATTCCTAACGACGAAATAATTATGACATTCAACACCATTTACCTATTCACCTCTATTCCTACGTTCCTCATGTACCTGTAGACGTTCGACTTGGAAAAACTCGATCTTTGCCCAGGAGCAAATGCCACTTTTGTCCGGAAATACTATCGAAAATTAAAATGCACCGCGATAGGGTCCCCAATAACTGTGAGAAATCGCCTCTTATCTTACAAATGTAGCTCTGTTTGCAGCTTCTAATTTGAGCA